CTTAATACGTTTGTACAAATTTACAAGTATTTCATGTAAACATTATTTTATACAAAACATAGGAAATCATCGGAATAGTTTTTAAATTTAACTAGTTATAGATGAAAGATAAAATAATTGAAATGATTCTTGTTGAACATAAATAAAGAAACTAACAAATCACAACTTTTTACTATTCAATAGAGATATTTACTTTGATAATAAAGTTAAATTATATATGTTACTGAAACAAAGTCATTTATCAACTTTTTGCATTCAATTACAATGACAAGAACTAGATATGTTGTATGTTTGAAACAACTTTCTTTTGTAATTCAAGTTAGCTACTTTTGAATCCTATCTTTAGTTTTAAATATCCTGATTACCATTTATTATGTTGGATAAAGATATTTTTAGTACATTTAAGTAGTCCACAAATGATACACAATATTTGTTTAGAAAAATATATTTTAGGAAATTACATAAAGTAGGATAATTGTGTTTTTACATATGAAATTCATAATTTCCTTCTTTATTAATTTACCAATATTAAGAATTATTTATGTAAAAAGTTCAACAATATCTCTGTATATAAATATTAAACCCTATAATAATAACAGAAGTGTTCAACATCTTTTATACTAAAAATCAACAGAGCTGCAATGAAATGTGTATTTTACAACAAACATGGATCTATATGAAGAAAAAAAAAAAAGATTGTGACTATTTAATAAAAAATCATGAAAATTCAAGATTATTTTACACTTATTGAAAAATAGAAATCTTACAGTAAACGTAGGAAGCAGAAAGTTAATACGTAGTAATAGTGATACATAAATTTTAAAGATATACACTGGAAAATATCAGTGTTACTTTCTGTTGCAAGTGTGATCCAAAAGAAGTTGAATTTGTATAGTTCACACACAATCATTACAATAAATAGCTTTCATTGCATTAACGGTGTTCAAAATATATTATAACTTTTATAATGCTTATGCTATAAAATCATTTGTATTTGCAATTAGTTCCTAAATCTTAATCATATTAACATTTGTTCGTTGCCATACATCTGTACTCTGTTTCGTATTTTACATTTTTTATTAACTTGTTTTTAACAAGTAAGAGAACTGCACGAAACAAGAGATCAGTCATTATCAGTGAATGAAATGATATTTTAGTATTAAATATGTTTTAGGTACAATAAAATTACAATTACTACATAAATAAATTGCATTACTTAAATAAATTATTGACATAAAGGAAGAAACAACAAGTGTAAATAGTTATGTTATTCATTACTTTGTACTGCTGAAATTTTTGGTAAATGTGACAAACGTTTTGAACGTTGAGCTTATTATTCAATACAAAGTTAACTGTATTCTGATAAATTCAGATTTACGAAAGTGTAAAAGGTTTTATTTAATTAAATCTTCTGAATTTGTCATTAGTAATTTTCATTATCACATAATGCATTTTATTGTGAATGTTTATTAAATCTTTGTAAATTTAATTTTTAATTTTTTTTAATTATGATGAACTATAAGAAAAATCTTGTGCTGTTCAATTTCATGATATTGTTTCCAGCAGTTCTTTTGTAGTACAGATCTACTGACACACAAAGATTTAGGATTCTTTTAAATCTTGATAAAGGTACATAAGGTGAAATCCAACAACATGATTGCACAATTAAAAAGCTATCACCTGCGACGGATTTGTACAATCTCCTATTGTCATTCTATACATAGCCATCTCTGTTATTCCATGGTAATGAACAAAAGCGGCTGCGATTACAAACACGTGGAAGATTTGATGACTCTGAAACTAAAGAACACAATAATTTAATGGTACATAAAATTGATTACTATATAAATTGCGTAGGAGAAAAGAAATACGAAATATTTACCCAAATATCGAATTTGCCAGGGAAAAATCGTTCAGGTACTCTTAATGCATAAAACAATGCACCTAATATATATAAACATCCCATTAATATTAACCACCCAAGAGATGCTTGACTAATTGCTTTAAACCAACCCTCTGCAATGGCATAATGAACTGCTGGTACTACCTGCCGAAATTATAATGGTTTGATATAATAATGTGTCAAATAACGGAATTTATTTTGTATTTTCTAATAAAATTCTTGCACATGTATGTAGCACATGTATCACTTACTCCACTAAGACCAAATCCCATAAAAACACCTGCTCTTAATGGTCTGTAACTGGGTTCACCAAATTTTTCCCATAATGATACAACAATACTCGTTACACCAAGTATTACAACCACTGACAAATAAATAAGTTTGGGTTGATAATCACAGTAGAAACCATAGTAAAGCCATGGTACAAAACTACCCATAATCAGCATAGCTATTCCACAATAGTCTAATTTTGAAAACAACTTTCCAACACATTCGCTGTGGCAGTGTACTGTGTGAAAGGCAAATGACATTCCTAGACACATAATAGCACCAGCAAAGAAGGTACCAAATACCAATTTTTCTTCCAATTGTATTTCTATAGGAGGTTGTGTTATGAAAAATATAGCTATGCCAATAAATGCCACACATCCTACAAAAATAATAAAATATATTAATTTATGAAATGTGACTACAAAGGTAACAAAATTTCATTAGATAAATAACACAACTTACCAAGTAAATGGGTCCAAATATTTCCTGTTTCTGTATGAATTCGAAATATACTTTTAAAACAGGCATAAAATGATGGTAAAGGGGGTCTGTGTCCAGCATGTAAGAAATCATTGTCCTGTAGCCATTTTGGCAGGTTTCTAAAGTGGCATTGCTTCCATGATGCTTCCCACACCTTTATATAATATTTTAGATGAAATAGAATTTTTTAATTTATAATACATTTACCAGTTAAAACATATTTAGTATGAGAGTACATTTACGTACCTTACGAACAAATTCTTCTGCTTGCTCTGCAGCATTATGTGCTAATGCACCCAAATCAATTTCATCACTTAACACACCAGCTTTTAATACTTCTGTCATCTATAGTACCAAACATTGAAACATGTCATACAATCATTTTATTGTTGATATATGTAGATGAAACTTAAAAATAAAATAAAAGAAATATTATTAATGATTGAAATTATGATCATATACCTCACAATCCAAGAGATGATCATCTTCAGGAGTTGAAGGCAATGGACAACCAACTCCATCTTCTTCTTCTGCTAAACAACTTGCATCATCATCTTCCAATAATTCCTTAACTTCATGTAATCCTGGAATTTCACTATTTAATAATACACGTTCACTCCATGGAATTCTATGCCGAATCTCAGATTCAGGTACAACATTTTCATCATTTCTTTTGTCTTCCACAATAACATCCTCGTACTGCGACATGTTGAGGAAAGTTCTCTAATTACTAATTTCTAAAAAACAAAATCATTAAAAAAAGATAAATATTATAATTTAAACAACAACATGTTAATAGCATGTTAGAAAAATACAAAAATTAATGAATAATATTATATGTTAATAAAAATGTACACAATTTTGAATGAAAAAAGTTATAACAAGACAATGTCTATATTTACAAGGTTTAGAAAATTGAAGTTAACTAATTCGCCGAACGTCGCAAAAATAACTAAATATAGTACAAATTTAAAAAATTATGTAAATTAAAAAGGTCATGACTTCTTATATAATGAATCATGATAAATGTATGTATACGTTGACTATCACGAAAAAGAAAACAGCAATAATTCAATTCACACGCAAAAGCTAAAGGAAATTTGTGCCACAGAAACTAGGAACTATAGCAAATACTTCGTTAATATTTTAGCGATCATAAATATAATTATTAGAAAATAAAACCACTTGTATTATACATTTTTTGAAACTATAGTGTCGCGTTAAACGAAAGACTGAAACAGAATAACTCAGTAAGTACAAAGTTCGATCAAATGGAAGACATATTTAATACATACCCGTCGTATGACAATTCTTCAAACTCTTACATCTGCGCCGTGGGTATTTAAAGTTTTATAATAGTAGATAAACAAATATAATTCACAACATGTTTTTGAGGAATGCAAATGATTTTATGCGAGTACTAATTTTGGTTATTATTGCTACGACAATAGTCGAAAATACCCGAATACTAGATCCCACGTGTCAACATTTATATACCAGTTGACATAGGTGATATTTATTTTATGGCATGAACTCGTTCCCTATTGTATTTGTATGAATGTATATTAAAAAATTATCAAGGAAAAAAAAATTAATTTAGTTTACATTAATTTACAATTAAATAAAATTTAATTACACTAACACGATATTAAAATATTGTTTCAATAAAAATTTATCTTTAATACAAAGTTTAATGAAAAATAAACAAAAAATTTGTTTAATTTAAAATTACTTTTTTTTTATAAAAAATAGCAAGTAATGTCAAATACAAAAAAGAATTTGTGATATATAGATTTAAATAATGTTTATCTCAAATTACAATTCTAGGTACAATCTTAGAAACATATTAAATGTAAGCGTATATGATGTATGAAAGCAATATGTAAAAGTATAAATTAGCATTGAATCATAATTTGAATTGAAAATGTAATGTAAAAGTAAAAAATAAACTTACGAATGAATATGATGTTTGGAAAATAGAAACACGTACTAATCACTAATTAAACAACCTGTATGCACTAGAATGTATACAATTCACACAAAATAATGACCGCAACTAAAGTTGCTATCGCAGCGTGATAGTGGTTCTGCGTGGCATAACCTAGAAAAGAAACAGAGTATATAATTAAAAATGATGAAATATATTTTCTTTAATAATTGTAACTTATTTCATCAAAATTTTATTTAAATTAGGACAGTTTAAACGTCAAAGATTTACTATGTATATTATGAAAAATGACATTTATTAAGTAATCTTTAGAATAAATGCAATATAATTGTAATAATGTGTTTAAAAAATTTGAATATACACAATGATTCTTCAATGTTCCATAATTCAGAAATATTGTATTGCTAAACTAATGTAAATAAATATTAATAAAATAAAATATTAAAATGTCTTTAGAAACTGGAATTTTATCAAAATTTATATACATAACATTTGTGGTTG